TAGATTTATCATTTATGTTATCTTCTTGGTGATCTTTTTTTTGGTCGCATCTTCTTAGTGATTCTTCGTCCACGTTTTCTCTTTCTTCTTCAGAGACCTTATTAATATGTTTATTGCATGAACTTATATGTAGTATTCAAGAAAAAGAGATCGAACACAAGTAACCGGAATTTAGTTTCTAATTATTTGAATTCTATGCATGTTTGTTTCTCTACCAATGTCGTATTAATATGTTTATCGTCCGGAGTTCTAACCACAAAAATTGTTGCTTCATATGTAGGAGTTCTACATCTCTCGCTTGTTTAAACCTAATTAACTATTTATTTAGTTTGTCTATGTAGTCCAGTAATGCAAACGTTGGGATTTATACATATAGAGCATTTTTGTATAGTCAAAACGGTAGGATATATACTATTCATTTTCGTTGTGTCAATCATTATGTTTTGTAAAGGTTGCAACGTATGATTAACGTTGTGTTGAATTTAGGAGAAATTAGGCATTTACAATGAATTTTTGTGATAAAACTGTTGTTTCCAGCATGTGCTACTTAACATGTCTATATATAGAATTGGAATGGATGATAACCAGTATTGGTCGATAATGGATAATTTGGTATTTAGAATTACTAACGTATATTAAATAATGAAACTCGATATTTTCTCAAGTTATCTATTAATTACATGTATTTCATTTATTTGGAACGCAAATTACCTGAGTTAAATTATGAATTATTATAAAAAAGAAGAAGAAGACCAATTAGCAAACGGTTTAAGGTTTAATCGATCCGACCAATCATATAGGTTCCTAATTACACCTTCTAACGACTGATCAGTAATGCTATTGAATTTTTTTATTTTATTTTAAATACAGCCTAATGATCCTACAAAATTTATGTTATAAAATAATCATAGGAGAAATAGACCCTGGAATTGAATATCTTACAAAATTACATTATTGATAAAGTTGAATAAGAGTTATATGGTCCATTTAGTAGTATTATTTTACTTAATATGATATTTGAAATTAGTGTTACTGTATTTTAACGTGTATAATCAGGTGTTCAAAAAAGAAATGAAATAAAATTAAGATAGGTCTTCCTACATTTTAATCCCAAAAAAAAAAAGAGGGAGGACAGGTCTTCTTCTGTAATTTGCTGGGACCGCAAGTCATGTGAGGCTGCTCTGCTGATGCTGCACGGCGTCGCAACTCTCTCAATAAATTCTTTTAACTAACGCTCCAATTTACGATGTCAAAAGGCTGACTTCAATTCTATGCCTTACTCTTGTACTCTATTATGTTTCGTTAGACTATTTAATCCAACTCTGCTTTTGAACCAAAAAAAAATCTAACTCTGCTGAATCGTGAAACACGTCACTGATCTTTACATATATATATATATATATATTTTTTTTTTTTTTCTTTTTCTTTTTTCAAATATATTCCCTTAAGAGATTGTATGTGAGTATGTCGTACAGGTGTATTATTTGGGAGAAGGTTTTGAGTTGAAACTCTAGGTTGAGATATAGTTTTGGAAATGCATTGTTTCTCCGAGAATGTTTAAAACTCAAAACCTATAATCGGATCAGTTTCAAATTTCAAGACAGTTCAAATAACAAAAGGGATATAGATCTTTTTTTTTTTTTTTTTTGGTTTTAGGATATCAGATGATCTTACAACTAATCCATATCAAGATTCTTGAACACTGGTATGCGGATTTCAAATATCCATCCCAAAATCAAAATATATGTGGACATATAATCCAAATCTGGATCCATTAGAAAAACAATTAAACAAAATTTAAGTGTATCCGTGATTAAAAAAAAAAGAAATTGCAATTCGAAGTCACAAGATAACCGGAGAAATAAAGATTTCCTTGAGTTCTTTCTAGATTTAGAAAGTGAGTGATACGGAAGCAAACTCATAGTGAGACTATTTAAAAGCCCAACAAGAAGCCCATTAAAGGTCCAACCATAAGGTGCAATTGGTTTAGACATCTGACCGTTTTAATCAGTTACGAAGTTGATAGATAAAAAGAGTGAACATCATCATGTGGCTCTCTTTCTTCCTCCTCCGCCGAGATTTTTCTCCGTCTCTCTCTTCTCCGCAATGGCGGCGGTCGCAACCTCCTTCTGTTTCTCTCCCCTTCGATCGCCGTCACTTTTCCAACTCCACAATCTTTCTCTAAACCCTAATTCATCGATTCGAAGAACAATCCTCTGTAAATCATCGCCTCGCGATGAATCTCCCGCCGTCACCGCTTCTTCTCGGCGACCGGAAAAACAGCAGAATCTAGTGGAATCTCCCAAACCTGATCCTGATCACAAACCGGATCCTGGGTTCGTCCTCAGCCTAATGCTTCTTTAGTATTCAACTTTGAATGGTTTCTGATGTTTATTGGTTTATTTGGGTTTAGGATTGGTAAAATTGGAATGGGGATTATGTCAATTGCATTACCTGCTGCATTAGCTTTAGCTGCTGATCCTATAACATCTCTTGTCGACACTGCCTTCGTTGGCCATATTGGTAAATATTTACTCTTTTGTTTGGTTTTCAATTTCACATTTTTCGAAATTTTACATTTTTAACATCACTAAACCATCCATATGTGATGTGACAGGTTCTGCAGAATTAGCTGCAGTAGGAGTATCAGTTTCTGTATTCAATTTGGTGTCGAAGCTCTTCAATGTTCCTTTGTTAAATGTCACAACATCGTTTGTTGCGGAGGAGCAAGCAATTGCTGCTAAGGATGATAGTGATTCTATGGAAACAAGTAGTGTTATTTTCCTTAAAAGCTTAATGTTTTACTGTCTTCTCTCAAAGATTGTTTCTTTACTTTGAATCTGTTGTTTATTTGTTGGTGTTAAGGCAAGAAAGTGCTGCCTTCTGTTTCAACATCCTTAGTTCTTGCTGCTGGAGTTGGTATTGCAGAGGCAATTGCGCTCTCTCTCGGATCTGATTTTTTGATGGACGTCATGGCTATACCTTTTGTAATGTCTAAACTCATGTTTGATCTTATTTTATATAGGCTGTTCTTTGAAGTTTTGTATAAGTGATATCTCTTCTTTCTTGATATGTTAATTTTCAGGATTCACCAATGCGGATTCCAGCAGAGCAGTTCCTCAGACTTAGAGCCTATGGTGCACCACCAATTGTAGTTGCATTGGCTGCGCAAGGAGCTTTTAGAGGTTTCAAGGACACAACAACGCCTCTATATGCCGTTGGCAAGTATTGCACAATCATCTCTTTTTATTCTTGTCTTTATGCATGAAATGGTTCTGTAGGATAGAAGTATGACCGGTATTTACATGATTGGCAATTGTTGTGATTTGAATAGTGTTTACAACACCGTATATGCATTAGCAGTTTTACATACATGTTTCTGATATGGGGAACTCTATATCAACAGTTGCGGGGAATGTGCTTAATGCGGTATTGGATCCAATCCTGATATTTGTCCTCGGTTTTGGTATCTCTGGTGCTGCGGCTGCTACCGTGATTTCTGAGTATGTCCAAAAATGTGGTAAACTTTTGATACTAATAGACTCGTTTCTAGTAAGCATATATATCTTAATTTGTGGCTTCTTATGTTTCTCACTTGTCAATGTTTCTTCAGATACTTGATTGCATTTATTCTTCTGTGGAAGTTGAATGAGAATGTAGTTTTGCTCTCTCCTCAAATCAAAGTGGGAAGAGCCAACCAGTACCTCAAATCAGGTAACTCCTCAAAATTTCCAAGTTTTCTTTAAACGACTCAAAACACCAAACGGAAAAAGGCTACTATATGAAATGTATTGATTCATGTTTAGGTGGGCTTCTGATTGGTAGAACGGTAGCTTTGCTTGTGCCGTTCACATTAGCTACTTCGTTAGCAGCTCAAAATGGACCCACTCAAATGGCTGGCCATCAAATCGTCTTGGAAGTCTGGTTGGCTGTCTCTTTACTCACCGATGCTTTAGCCATTGCTGCACAGGTCTATTATCTTTTGCAAATCAACTTCGAAACAGATCATCTCTACCAAAGTTTACTGTGACATAAGTATCCCATTAGTATGATTCAAGATTACGTTTTGAGGAGAATTTTTTCACTTAAGGTTTCTACCTCTATTTTCAGAGTCTTCTTGCTACCACTTTCTCTCAAGGAGAATACAAACAAGCCCGGGAAGTTATCTTCGGAGTCCTTCAAGTTCGTATTCATTACATCCCTAGTTTATATCCTACCCTATAAATTCAGTTTATAATGCACAATCGCAATCTTTTAAGTAGGTAGGTTTAGCAACTGGAACTGGTTTGGCTGCTGTATTGTTCATCACTTTCGAACCATTTTCAAGCTTATTCACAACGGATTCAGAAGTTCTAAAGATTGCTTTGTCAGGGACCTTAGTAAGATCTTATCTTTTAATCTAGAAAGAGTTTGAAAGGGTAGCCTCAGACACTTTCTAAATAATGTTGTCTGGATGCAGTTTGTGGCTGGATCTCAACCGGTGAATGCTCTAGCGTTTGTTTTGGATGGGCTTTATTATGGTGTCTCTGACTTTGGATTTGCCGCCTATTCTATGGTCTCTTTTTCTTCTTCCTCAGTTGATGGTTTGATTCTCCTTTTTCTTCACCTGGAATAAGTTGATAAATTATCGTTTTTGGAACAGGTGATTAACGGATTAATATCTTCCTTGTTCATGCTTGTGGCTGCACCAACGTTTGGCCTTGCCGGGATCTGGACTGGTTTATTCCTCTTCATGGCATTGCGGTTGGTTGCCGGAGCCTGGAGGTAAAAAAACTAACTAAAAGACCGTTCTAATTTTATCCCCGTCCGAACATTTTTTAAAAAGGATATTGCGTCATGTTTCAGATTGGGGACAAGAACCGGTCCATGGAAAATGCTGTGGTCTGCTCCAGAGAAGCCAGAATGAGACGGATCGCCGTTTCTGCATCAATATTTTTGCGGTATGATGCGTGACTCTTAAGTTAAGATAATGAAAATGTAGTAAAATAATAGTATAAAAAACAGAGTCTTATAGTATATTGATGCAGCATAAACACTAAGCTAGAATCTGAAAAACTCTAAATATGAATCAAATCCACCTCCCTGGTGATAACTGGAGCCTTGAGGTTCATTGTACATCAATCCATTTTCCAATTTGAATCGATCATAGCTGTAATCTTCCTCTGATTTCACTGCTGGGTTCTCACTAATAATCAGAGATTTCACTATTTCATTACCAGTCATAGGATTCTCAGTCTTGTCATGGCCAAGCTCAATAGCGTCTTCGTTGTAGACTACATAGTCCTTTCGATCTTTCGTTTCAATCACGCCATGACCAGATTTGTCAGTTTCCAACCAATATCCTCCCGAAGTTTCCGCCTCCTCGTCCTTCTTCATTTCTCCACCCAAATCTTCCGGGAAATTTAACCGGGCATAGGGTCCGTACATGACACTAGCAGCTCTGTCGTAAGCCAAGGCGGCTTCGGCTGCAGTAGCGAACGTTCCAAGCCAAAGGCGTTTACTACGACTCGAGTTTGCACCACGGTGGCTCACTGGTTCACGTATCTCAGCAACCCATTTCCCCCAAACCCTCTGTCGAACACCTCTAAACCGACAAACCGGATTCTCTGGTCCGCCTTTTCCTCTCATACAACCTTTCTTCGAACCTTTAGCTTGAACCCTACGAGCTTTATCCAACCCTTCCTCCTCCCATCTCTGTAACGTCGCTTCCACTGGCTCAACCACTCTTCTTCTTCTTCTTCTCGAGGATACAGCAGAAGCAGAGGAGCTCCGTTTCGATCCGTTATCTTCCTTTTCCATTGTATACACACAACACACACAAACTGTAGAAGAAGAAATGGAGCGAAGTATACAATAACAATTAGATTTCGAACATAAAACCAAATAATAAACTATAAATTTTGGTCAGAAAATACTGCCCTAGAATTCACCAGAGACTTCAGAAATTAAGGTGGGAACACTTCTCGAGATACCGTCTAAGAGAACACGCGTGGTGCTTACGACAATTAAATGTACGGCTACAGGACACGTGGTGACTTCCCAGTTTAGGCAGATTCTGGTATGCTAGGATTTTTTTGTTTTGTTTTAGTCTTATAGATATCTTTGCGGCTAAGACTTTGGAAATTATCGTAAATATCATGAAATATAGATATTATAAATCTTGGGCACCAATCCACCTTAAATTGAAATGTTACTTTTTCAGCGTTTTTGGCTTACGGTGCAAGCCAGCAGTCTGACAAACGTGTTTCTTTTTTCTTTCAAACAATACTATTAAAAACAGTTGAAAACAGCGGTTTAAAATGCTTCTGATTGCGCCTTATTGGTCACATTCAGTTTTTTAAATAGGAAATAGATAAATGAGAAAAAAAAATTGTAGACTAGCTTAAGAAAAATCGGCTCTATAAAAAAAGTTACAGTTAAAATATTATTATTCCATTGTTATTGAAGAAATCTTTTTTTGAAGCGTTTAGCTCGAGAATTTTGGTACTCTCATTGGAGACTCTTCCCAGCTCAAATTGCGCGCCAAACTAACAAACTATAGTTTTTTGCCTTGGCAAAGAAACAATTTCTAAGTCATTGGCATTGACAAATCATAGTTCTCCGAGATTCTGGTTTTCAAGGTCAATTCAACTTTGGATTTTGTTATATTTTGGTTATAGATTTCTTTGCGACTAAGACTTTGATTGGTTTTTAATTCAATAATTTTCGTCTGATGGAAGATGTCAAATTGGTGACTTATACCGTAAGCTAAAACCCTTAAAGGATAAGAATTTAAGGTGGAATGTCAAATTGGTGACTTATACCCCAGCCAATACTAGGAATTTTAGGTCAGAAACAATTCATTTTAAAAACGAAGCTTCCTTGTTGGCTTGGCTTACGGTATAAGGCACTTAAATTATCATGATTTGTTTGACATTGGGCCTTTGCCTAACTGGACTCTAAAGAAGTAAGCTTCTACATTGGGCCCAACACCCACAAAGATGCTCATCGAATTATTTGGGCATCGCAGCAGCTCCGACCCCAAAGCTTGCTTTGTGGACAACAATTTCAAGTCAAGTTATTTACAGACAAGTGAAGCTTGAAATTTCCTTTCTTTAAATCATATTTCTCTGATCCAGGTCTTTAAGCTGATCAGTCAACGAAACAGCTTAAAAAACCATCTTTTATATCATCTCTTGTGATGGAAGCTTTTGAAAACTGGTGAAATTTGGATGGATCTATCTTGCATACACATGTATCCAAATTTGACTCTTTTTGATTGTCTATATGCAATGTAGTCATAACAAATCAAAAGATGGCAACAAGATCTAATAAAATAGATCCATTGAATCTTTGAGTTTGAACATGAAACAGATCCAATTCTTTGTATATTAAAGAGGCTAAAGATTAACACATACTGGTAGTAAAAAAATCAAATAAAAATCATTCAAAGATATATATTTCGTCTATAGCTATATTGCCCCATGAACAAGAACCAAAATTAGGCCAGATCCACAATTTTTCGTTTATTGTTCCTAAGTATCAAATTCAACAAACGAATCATATAGAAAGATTTATCAAAAGTTTTTTAAAAAAAAAAGTTACCCAAGCGAGGGAATGGTAGATCGGAGTCGCAATTACACGCGAGCGGCGATGACAGCTGGCGCGGCTGAAGAGGCGGCGCCACCGAGGAAAGAGAGGAATCCGGTAGCAGCTGGCTCTTGCTCATCAAGGAAAAGATCTTCCGGAGCTCTAAAAGCACCATGAGCACAGATCAACGCAACACCAACCATCATAGCCGAAACAAGAACAGATCCAACATCGGTGAGGAAAATCACAAAGATACTGAACAAGATCAAACACCCTAACGTTTCACGATCGGAGAATGTACGACCGAAGACGACGATCGGTTGATCCGTGGGACGGAACAAGTAGAGGAAGAGCCACGACGCGAGGAGACAGAGGAGGAAAACGAGAGAGAAAGGATGAGTCACGAGAGAGAATCCGACGATCGCTGTAGCGACGGTGAGGTAATTAACCTTGAAATACGAGTAATTCTTGCGGATACGAACAGCAGCGTCGGAGATCGATTCAGGTTTGGATAATGCGGAACGATCGGCGAGCTCAGCCCAAGGACGACGCTTAGAGAGACCGTTTTTAACGGTTTCGGTGATCTGATTGATGAAATTGCGGAAAGCTGGAGTTGCGATCGGTGGTTGAGATTCGACGGAGGGAGGAGCGGCGGATGGAACGGTTTGGGGATTGGAGATTGGGAGGACTGGTGGTGCTGAGGAAACCATTGGAGATCAAGTTTGGTAGATCTGAGAAACAGAGAAGAATTAGGGTTGAAGAAATTGACGAATTGGGGAAGAGCTGATTGATTAATAAATAAAGAGGGAAGGAGATAGAGATTTATTTATATACGGGATTAGAAATTTGTTGACCTTCCTCTTTCTTTCGTTGCTACGGGTCACCGACAATAAACGTGACTATTTTCCTTTTTTTTTCTTCCTCTTTTTGGTTTTCCTATTATTATTTGATTTTGTAATTATGATCTATATTAGCCTATTAGTATTAGGTTAAAGTTAAATCTCGTGTTTACCGACAAAATAAAAGAAAAATCTCGTGTTTTAGGGAGATAAATGTTAAAGAGTTATATATATTTTCCAAAAATGTATAAGTAAATTTATTATATTGTTTTTAAATTTTAGCAATTGTTTTTTTTCTTTTGGTAATGGTATACTATATTGAATGTGTAATATAAATACCTTTCTCACAAAAGAAGGGTTTTCTCATAACTTTGACAACACTCGCCGAAACCATGTCTTCCTGGACAAGCGATGATTTTGCCGCGGCTGATGTTGGTGTCTTCTGGGACATAGTGGACTGCCCAATGCCGGAGGATCTCTGTCCTAAGTGATCGCTTGTGATCTCAAAACCGGTCGCCAAAAAGTGGACAAGTACTTCAGTTTCAACTGTGCAAAGTAAAAGGAAAGTCTACAGTTCAAGGGGAATCTTCAATTGTCAAGGTCAAGACAACCAATAACAGAAACGATGATGTTTATGAGACAGAGGATTAAATAAAGGTGGGTGGGTCATCTTCAACACAGAGAACACCGATAACCATGTCTTGCTCCACAAGCGATTTGGCTGCGGCTGAGATTGGCGTCTTCTGGGACATGGTGGACTGCCCAATCCCTGAGGATCTCTGTCATAAGTCTGTCTATGTGAAAATCAAGTCAGCTCTTGAGAATATGGGTTATCTTTGTAAGGTATCAATCAGTGCTTATTCTGATATGGATCACAACCTAAAGAAGGAAGAGTTCGAATCCACCGGAATCACTCTCTTGCCCACAGGAAATAAACAAGCGAGAGTTAATACGATTTTAGAGGATCTTATGATATGGGCAAACGACCAGCATGGTAAACCAATTAATCTCATGGTAATCTCACGAGATATCACAAAAGACAAGCTATACGTCAAGTCTCTTATGTTTTTGAAAGACTGGAGGAATTTCATTATTCTCTTAGCCCAGCCTGAGAACTTGGCACATGATGATGATTTATCACAAGCGTTGCTTAGCAAGTAACTGCAGTTTGGCTTTGGAAAAACCTTTCATATGGAGGAAAGCCTATCGATAAGGAGGATTACCCAATGAATATCGAGGTTGGTTGGACTTAACATTAAAACCAAAAAAAAATTGAGATAGGTAAGTCATCATCTTCAACGTATAGAAGACGTCTTGCTCTTAGGGAGTTGACAATCCCAATGCTCTTCCGTAGCGGGGGAAGGTCACAACAAGAAATGTTCTATATCGTTTCTTTTTATCTAGTTCATCAATCTGGCTTTTGAATTAGCATTGTGTCAGTGTTGCAGGTTCTTTTAGTATTATGACTGCTTTGTTTTCTTGTTGTCAAGGCTGTCTCGGCTTTCCCTAAGTTCTCAATTAACTCTTTTATTCAAAATTTTCTGTTGGTTTTCTTTCAATGAAAAGCTGATGGAAAGTTTCAGTAGTTTCGATCAATACGTTATTGACGAGGCAGTCTTGTTGATTTCTTGAGATGTAAGTCATTTAAATCTCGTCTAAAACAATTGTTTTTTGGCTTGGGGAAGGTGTCAGAGAGGTGTCTAAAACAAAGGTATCATTTCATAATCCTTTTAGTAGTGTGTACTCTATATGCTGAAGGAAATTACAAATCCATGTCATGGTTTTGGCAATTTGTGAAATTCGTGTGGCAGGAGAATATGTTAAGGAGTTGCAAGTGTCAATGCTATATCATATGTGGCTACTACTGCAGGTCTGCAGCTATACACATTGCCAACAACAATCCATTGTTTCATAAAACCCACAAAAGTCATATTGTTAGAAAAAGAATCCAAGCTTGTTTGATCAAGAATCTACACTTTCGAAGAGAGAATCAACTAGAAGATGTGTTTACAAAACCATTTCCTAATCATGTTCTGTCTCATTGGATATTAAAGGAATATTAGATACCTCAAGCCTCTGTTCAAATTGATAAGTTGGTTAGTCTTTTAAGCCATACGATGATTTGGTAAGTCTCCTACTGTATCTTACATAAACTCAGGGTATAAAAGAGACTTTGTAAGTGACTGAAAACCATACTTCATCTTCTCTGTTTCGTTCTCTGTCAAGGCTAATATGGTCGTACTGGAAATCTTGGATTAATTAGCCTAGATTAGCATTATAAAAAAGCACTTGATGATACACTTTGTTTCCTTAAACTACTGGTTCACGTACCAAAACAGAAACAAGAAGTCAAAACACTAATTCAAATTATCACCTTAAGTTCAAAGCTATCTTTTTCTTCTTCTTCTTATTCTTGCTCTCTTTGTTCAACAAGACAGAGATCTTAGCAAATCCGAAACTCTTTCTCTTTCGAGTCGTCGACCTTTTCCCGTTCTCTTTCCCTTCACTCCTCTTGCTTACAGTTTTATCACTATTGCTATTCTTTGCCAGCATCTGACCCAGTGACATTTTTCTTCTCTCACTAGCAACATTCATATCTGAATCCTCTGCAAGAAGTAGCTTCTTGCTGAGTATTTGCCCGATTGACATTGTTGGCTTCAAGACAGGGACTGAAGAAGATGATGACCCGTGAACAACATCGTATGTCAGATGCAGACCGTTTACATCCATCAGACGCGTTGACTCTCTTTTGCTCTTGAACTTAGAAGTGTTGTTCACTGAAGAAGATAGTCTTCTCCTCTGTCCGTTTTCTGACCGCCAATTTCGCAGCGCCTCTTCTGCTTCGATCTTTGAAGCATTTGCAGCGTCAACTCTTTCAACAGCTTCCTCCAACACCCTCTTGCTGGTTTCAATTTCTTGAGCCGCTTCGTCTACTTTCTTCAGAACATTCATCTTTGAAACATTCGCTTCTTCAACTCTCGCCATTGCATATTCCACTCGCTTTCTCGCCTCTTCTTCTGCCTCTCTAGCACTACAAGCAAGCACAGCGTACTCTTCAGCAGAGATAGTCACAGCCTCGGCTTTATCGACATTTATACTTCCAGTAACGGCCTCAATCTCTGCGATTGCAACAGCCTCAGCCGCTCTGGCTGCTTCCTTCATCTTTCTAGCAGCCACCAACCTTATCTTCGCTGTTCTAATCTTATCTCTTGTGCTTTCAATCTCAGCCATTGCTTTCACAACTTCCGACTGTGCATTCTCTCCTGTTATCTTCACCTCTTGAGCTTCACGGCTCAATCTTTGAACCTCATTCAACATTCCCAACGCATTATTCTCTAAATCTTTCTCATCAGTTTCACCCTCCTTGGCAAATCTTACTCTCACTTCTTCTTCCTCTAAAGAAATCACCTTGAGAGATTTCTCCATAAGCCTCTCGCGTGTCTTCTCAAGAGCAGCTCTTTCCTCATTCAGCTTCTTCTTCAACTGCTCCACAGATTCGCGTATACTCGCAATCTTGCACAAATTCATCTTCGCTTGGTTTAAATCCTTCAATACCACACCCGCTGGCTTGATATGACTGTCAACTTCTTCTCTCAACGTCTCCTCCTCATACACTTCATTCCTCTGCTGCAGCTTTAAGACTGTGGCTTTAGTCGCCTCAAGCTCCTTCAACACCTCTAATGTTTCACGTTCTTTGACAATTAGTTCTCTCTGTAGCTCAGAAGCTTGTGCTTTAAGTTCAATGATATCAGTTTCTTCAACTTTTTCCTGCCACCAATATCAAAAAGACAGAAACTTTACCTTACATATCCTACTTTGAACAACTCTGCTACTTTAAAATATGACACAGAGCACAAAATCTTCACTAATGTGATGAATTTGAGCGATTCCGCTTAAAATCAGGTACCAAAATAGTTGGTAATGAACAATTCTCTTATTGTGGGGTTAAGTTTTCTACATCATTATTGCTACACATGAAAGGGAAATCAAGTATCATCATCATAATGTCGTTGAAGACATGAACCAGACATCATTAAACATCAATTTCAAAGTTTAATGATATCATTTTGTTGTTTCAGACAACAGTAATGCAAAGCACGATTAATCAGCTAACAACAGTAAAACCCTAAAAATCACATTTTCAGACAGAACTTAAAGAAAAGACTGCAAGTGAAGGAGAGAAAGGGAGAGAAACCTGAGAAGCTTCTGGGAGTTTATTGTGAGAAGGTTTCCAGAAACCAAAACCGCCGAAACGAGTGGCTGCTTCTCTCACTGACTCGAACGGAGCAGAAGTGTCTATCTCGGCTCGGCCATTCGACAGATCCGAGTCAGGGTTCAAACTCACAGGCTCTATCACAGTGCTCGGTTCTGGAATATCGGCCATTGAAGGCTACGGACGATATTGAAGCAGAAGGGAGAAGAAGAGAGTGAAGTGGAACAGAGAGAGAGAAATGAGGATGGAACCAAAAGTCTTGGTGTTGAGAATTGAAACAGGTTTGATAAAGACGTGTCGGAACACGCGCCACGGTCGTCTCGTGAACAGTGTTGGGAAGTCATCTATCCATTTAAAAATGAAATTAGCAAAAATTTCGCGTTTCTTTGATCCTAATTTCTAATTCTAATCAAATTAAGGAAATAATTAACCTCTAAAGAGCTAAAACCATCTGAACGTTTTGATATTGACCAGATTGGTTAGAAATTGATTAACAAAAGGAAAACAATAATTTTAGAAGCTTATGTGTCTGATTAATCAGCCTGAATCGTTATATTTACACAATAACAAACAAATCTTATCGATTGATTTCCAGTTAATTGGCTAAAGCGAGCCCTTGTTCTCAACTTATTCCCCATTATTTGGCTAGCCCCTTAAACTTTTCTCGGATTAACTTAGTTGGCTATATGATTAGTTTTTAAGTTAGTATGTTTGAGGAAATTAAATGAGCAGAGTATGTGTACTCATATCTCTTTTGTGATGGTAAGTATTGAGTAAAGTCATTATTATCATGTGGACTGAATTTAGTAAAACTGTACCAAGTGACTGTTCGTTCCAATCTTTCTTGCCATGGAAGAATCTATGTTAGAAGCGATGGATAGCACATAAGAATAAAATTACGAAGGGTTCAAGCAAAAAACTTGGTAAGAATCTGAACCCAAAACATCAGATTTGTCATCTTTTAGGTGAGAGTGAGACAAATAAGTCTTGATAACAATGTGTGCCGGACACAGGTTTTTTTTATCTACAAGATTAAACTTTGATCCTTCTCACCTAATAAAGTGAGCTATGTAGAGTGTCGTCAATTATTTGTCCATCTTCTTGTTTGTTTTTTCTTCTTTTTGTCCAAACCATTAGACTAATATTTTCATTTTGTTTCTTTCTCTTTTGTCTTCGCTTTCATCTTGTTTTCAGGAATGACTAATGCATTCGAATGTTTTTTCTTTCCCCTTTCTGTGCATTCCTACTTTATGAAACAAGTAGTTTTCAATTCAATTTCGGTGATAATTTTAGCCATTTTGTCCACTTTCGTTGTTTATTAATGAGAAGAAAAGATCAAGGAGCTAAAGTATTAGATTAGGTTAACCAAAAAGTCTAGCATATGGACTCGTATGAAATTGATATAAGTATTAGGTAACTTTGTTATTTCAGACTAGATTATTTTTAATCTATTTCAAGGATACAAATATTCTCTCAACAATTCAGAGATCAACAAGAACACGTCACTGATAAAAACATGATGATATTATAATTTCTACATAGCCATATCTTACGTTTAACATGAATCAACAACCATATCTTTAGCGACCCTACACGAATCCAAATTTGATTGCAATATCGTACAATTTTCTTTCTTACTACTGTGAAATTTGTGTCGTTTATAATTATTGATCAAACTTAATAATGTGGATTCAATTCTCAGAAGGAATCATGTATATCTTGAAATAAATCTAGAAAAAAGATTTATAGGTAAAATTGAGAACCATCTCTTTATAGAACTTATACGTCGATTTGTAGTAAGTAAAAAGTCTACATCTGCAATAAAAATGTATGGAGTTAGTTATAAACAATACTATATTTAATTGAAGTGAAAATGATAATCTATCTTACTTGTTTAATCAAAGCGCGCGACAAATAGAACCAAACACTAATAAGTTAACTTATGTGCACAGAATAGATAGCATTGTCAAAAGAATCGGTTAAATTTTTATTTTTTTAACTAATTATTATTTATCCTTTAACCACTCTAGTAAAATACATGGCCTTAAAACAATACCTAATAGTGTTAAAAAGAAAAGAAACAAAATCAATACCTAATAATCTAAAATACTATAGAAGAGAAGACTCAAGCTTCTCTATATAATGTTCCTTCTACGCTTTAGCTAATTCACCATTATCCACAGTCGCAAATCAAATCATCTTTTGTCTTCCTCTTGAAAATATGGGGTTTTCTCCTTCATCTTCTTGTAGTGCTATGGGAGCCCTAATTTTGGGTTGCCTTCTGCTTCAAGCATCAAACTCTAATGCTCAGTTGAGGCCTGATTTCTACTTCGGGACTTGCCCATTTGTTTTTGATATCATTGGGAATATCATCGTCGATGAACTGCAGACTGATCCTCGTATTGCCGCTAGCCTCCTTCGCCTTCACTTTCATGACTGCTTTGTTCGTGTAAGGACATTCTCAACTTATCTTATTAAAAAACTTCATGACGTGTTCAATGGGCAAAACTACTTTGTATACTATTTACATTTTTGAATTAATAAATAATGTTGTCATCTAATGTAATATATATGATTTTTGTAGGGTTGTGATGCATCGATCTTGCTTGACAATTCCACATCATTTCGGACCGAGAAAGATGCTGCTCCGAACGCAAATTCGGCTCGAGGGTTTAATGTCGTAGATAGAATGAAAGTTGCCCTTGAGAGAGCTTGCCCAAGAACAGTATCTTGTGCAGATATTCTCACCATCGCCTCTCAAATATCAGTGCTTTTGGTATATAAATTTTTTTACATGACTTATTTTGTATAAAACTAATCGACAAAGGTTATGAATTAAACGTCAATGTTTTATATAGTCGGGAGGTCCATGGTGGCCGGTTCCGTTGGGGAGGAGAGACAGTGTAGAAGCTTTCTTCGCTCTGGCTAATACAGCTCTTCCCTCTCCATTTTTCACTCTTACTCAACTTAAAAAAGCTTTTGCTGATGTTGGTCTAGACCGCGCCTCTGATCTAGTTGCTCTTTCTGGTAAAGTTTTCATATTATATCATCTGAGATATGTGTTTTTGATAGCTAGATACTATTCCTTTTATATTTTGATAGCTAGCTACCTAGACGCATTCCTCGACTAAGTCTGGAATTTACATATATAGTAAGTTTTAAAATTACAAAGTTAACTAAACAATTTTAAATTAATTTATTAGAATGACCTACAGTTATACTTTAAATATTTAGTTTATACTTTCTTATATAAATGATTTGGTTTTAGCTTTGAAATTATATTACAATATTAGTTAAAATAAATATTTGAATTATGATCAAATAAAACTATAAAACAAAAATATATCAGTTGAATGTTTTGACAACATAGTTTTTCTTTATAATTAGCTTAAATTTTTAATAGTGTATAAACAAAACAAAAAATATCAGTTGAAATTTTTTGATAACTTTATTTTTCTTTATAATTAACTTAATTTTTTAATAGTATATGAACATATATAACAATTGAAGGAGCTAAATCTCAAATAAATATATAAATGTCAAATATTTAACGTAAATTGAAATGGGGTGATATTTTTCTACAATGTTTAAGTTCGAATTTTAGCACAATATATTTAGTTTTTAAGAAGTTTTTCAAGGCATATGAATTAGTTAACAAGAATTAAAGTAAGAAAATCTATTGCTTGAAAATATGAAATACATGACCAAATAGCTGTTATGAAAAACATGACCGAATATAAAATGAAAAAAAAAAGAGAAAAAATCTAATCAAATACGAATTTCATCTAGCATGTGATTTTGAATTATAAGATGAGTTGGTAAAACGACAAATTATGACTCATCTTTAAATAAAACATTCTATATATGTATCTAATCATTGTACTGTTTTGTCAAAATGGTAGGTGGTCACACATTTGGAAGAGCACAATGCCAATTCGTGACGCCTCGCCTCTATAACTTCAACGGAACCAACAGTCCAGACCCAAGTCTGAACCCAACTTACCTCGTCGAACTCCGTCGCTTGTGCCCTCAAAACGGAAACGGCACCGTTCTGGTCAACTTCGATGCCGTGACTCCAGATGCTTTCGATAGTCAATACTACACCAATCTTCGTAATGGGAAAGGTCTTATTCAGAGTGACCAAGAACTCTTTTCGACTCCAGGAGCCGATACGATCCCACTAGTAAACCTATACAGCAGCAACATGTCCGTGTTCTTTCGAGCATTCATTGACGCAATGATTAGGATGGGAAATCTTAGACCCTTGACTGGAACTCAAGGAGAGATAAGACAGAATTGTAGGGTTGTGAACCCACGAATTAGGGTTGTGGAGAACGACGATGGTGTTGTGAGTTCTATCTGATTACGTATATATGAATATGTAAGAAAGTATAAAATGCGTGAGAACAATTTCGACGACTAAATAAAAGTTCTAACGAGTTATGAGATTTATGATAATTTGGTCTTAATTACACTTCTGATTCGATCTTCTGATTATTGTACACGTAATGCAAATATAGGTGATGTTTATAACACTTCAAATTCTGACAAGTATTTAAGTAACTTTTGATTTAACATAATTAACGTGGAAATTTATACTATATATTCAAGTAGATTGTTGATATAAAATGTCCGAGTTTTTGTCCGCTTTCGTTATTTATAAATGAGAAGAAAAGACAAGGAGCTAAAGTATCAGATTAGGTTAACTTTTGTTAACCATATATAAAAACTAGCATATGGACTCGTATGAAATTGATATATGTATTAGGTAAATTTGAAATTAATAATTTTGGGAAAGACTTGTATAATTTATCCATTTTTTAGTGTGGCTTCTGAGGCTACATTTGCGGTATTCACGGGAAAGAGAAGGACAAAACACAAGGATTTCTATTTGTCAGAAAAAATTCATTTGTCTTGTATCCAATTATGTAGTCCGTGTAAAAAAAGTTAAAAAAATATTTCTTCGAAACCACAACCAACTCATTTATTCACTGATCTATGTTACACTTAATCCTTCTATTACAATTTTTTTTTTATTTTTTTTTTACATGCATGTTTATACAAACACTTAAAAAACTCCTCAATATAAACATAGCCCTGCCAGCACATTTGGAGTCTGATCTAATAAAATCACAAAATATTAGTAAATATTGAAAAACAATATATCTTAGCATATATTTTTAACCAAACTTTATAATCACATAATATTACATGTTTTAACGCTCTACAAAAAGTATCAGATCAAACCGTCAAAGGTTCTATGG